TCAAATATCTTTTCATGTTGTGCCAATTTACTATTCACATAATTTAAAATTTCATTTTTGAGAGATTGATTTTTTTCAAACTTAGTTACAATATATGCCACGGGAAACTCATTTTGACATTTTTCAGAATAATAGCCTATTACTGCTGCATCAAGTATTTTAGGATGTGTAAGTAGAATTTCTTCTAGTTCAGCTGGGGCTACATGAATTCCCTAACATTTGAATTTTTAATTTGAATAAATCAAGCCTAGAATATTTTCAAAAAAGAAACAAAAACGGAAAGACGCGTATTGTTTTACATTATGTTTGATCAGTTCTTTCTTTCGATCAACTATAAAGTAATTTCCTATAAATTATATTTGTATTATATTCAAATAATGGTTTTAAGCGCTAATGGATTACGATGAAAAATTAATTAAAAACCTTGGTTGTCAACATATGCGATGTCCCCCGTATGAAGGAAACCATCTTTGTCAAAGGCGGCATCCGTAGCATCCTTGTTCTTGAGATAACCCTATTCAATTATTACTAAATTAATAGTAATCACATGATGAATTATTTGAATAATATTATATAATGTACCTTCATGACAGTTGGCCCACGAATGCATAGTTCACCAGGATCATTAGGTCCCAATTCTAGAATATGGTATGAAAACATCAGTAAATTTATTTATATTACTGTATTACTAGAAGATAAGCACATTCCGATTACCATGACCATCATCAGATAATATTTTTGCATTCATATTTGGTAAGAGCATCCCACAGGAACCTGTTACAAATTATTTTTAAGAAAAATCATTAAAATATAAATAATTTAAATAAATTATTGATATAAAATGTGACCAAAGTTTGAGTCAGCTTCTCAAACATACCTGAGACAGAATTTTTTGAATCAGAATAGTGTGACATCGCTTCCGTAAGACCTTTAATATGCAGCATAAATAAAATTAATAAAGTTTTTATTATATCAATGAAAAAAATGCCATATATTACTGATCAAAGCGACCAGAAACAAAAAAGCAAGCAAGAGCAATAATTCTAATGGAGTACATTGTATTTACTAGTAATTTGATTTGAGCATAATCAACATTTTCACTTCATATTGAAATGCTTGCTTTATTTGGTAATATATGATAATTTGAAAAAAAATTTATTTTTATATTTACCAAAAGCCTGCTTAATTGGAACATTAAAGATATTAAAAAATACACATTCTAGTTCATATCCTAACGGCGCTGCTGCAGATACAATAATCTTAACGCTTGATAGGTCATATATTTTGGCAATTGGATCTTTCACAAGTCTAATTATAATCGGTGGTGTGGCGTGAATGTAATTGATTTTGTGCTTTTGAATACAACAGCAAAATGTTTTAACATCGAAATTAGGTAGAGTAACAGCTGTGGAACCCTTTAAGATTTAAGAAAAAGATTTTTAAGACAATTTGAAAGTATAAATATAAGCATTTTCAAATCTTAAACTAATAAAAAACATACGCAAATAAGAGTTACGTGGACAATACATATCAATGCATATGCATGTGAGAATGGCTATTTGAAAAAGAAATTCATAAATTAATGTTAGATATTTATCTAAAAGAACTAAAAAAATAACAGATAAATTAATAAATTAATATACCATAACACCCATGAGAATGCTGTGTGAACTGATATCCTTTTCAAATTCTCTAAATTGCACTAAACCAGCAACCAAATTCCTATGTGTGATTTCAACACCTTTCGGTTTTCCAGTAGTTCCAGAGCTGTAAAGCAAATAAGCCGTCGTTGATATTGTTTCTTTTGGAGTATAAGTAACTGGTTCGATTTCATGTTCTTTAATTAACTCTGAGCGAAAA